CGTAATAAAATCATACAGAAAAATCGTGAAAAGATACTTGATGCCCGTGATAAAATAGCAGAACTGACACGTCCCATTGGTGATGTGCGCCAACGTTTGTTGGCAAAAAAGCTGTCTGCTAATAGTGGACTCAAATCTCGCGGTGGTTCAAAGAAACTGTATACAACCGCATATCGAAATGGTGTGTTGAAACCTAAGCCCGGTTTGAAGAGCACACAGCCTTTTTTACGACAACCAGCACATGTATCAGCCCGCTTGCCAGACTTAATAAATGTTCCTCGGGGCTACGTTGACTATGATGATATGGAACGTTTGGAAGAAGGTAAGCTTTGCATATACATCAATTTAAATTGTGGAATTGTGTATACATTCGTCAATTTTCCAGAGGAAATGGCTGCCGCAACACGTATAACTCAAACTGTGAGGAATCAGTTCTATAAACCACCAGAATTGCTTTCAACTCGAACTGTGAACAATCAGTTCTATAAACCACCTGATCGCCACATGTCCCCAGAATTACCACCACCACCGCCCAAGGGCATACTGCGGCCCAGTACACGGCAACTAAGCCCAGACGTTTATCAACGCCGTTATGTGCCAGAGCTACCATCACATCTATCTTATGAGATGCGTTCACGTTTGGAACGTGCTCCTGATCCGCATGCCTCCATGGGAATATTTTCCAATCCATTGAAGTCATCATCCTCATCAGGTTACCGTATCGTAGTCAGTAATTTGCACAGCAGCGTAACTCAGTCAGATATTCAGGAACTTTTTGAGGATATTGGTCCTTTATACGATTCGCGTTTAGTGCGGCCCGGTGTTGCTGAAGTTATATACAAATCATTAACGGATGCAGAAAAGGCGGTAGATACTTATCACAATCGTCAACTAGATGGCCAGCCAATGAAATGCCTACTAGTAAACCCCCGAGCTTCCAACAAGCCCACCGCACCTGCATTGCCCACAAGCTCAAGTTCTCGCGGCCCTTCAGGAAAGACACCATTGGAAATTGATATCGACGCATTGCACAAGGTGCTCTTCCAACGTCATTAGCATTATCCTTACAAATAATATGAAAATAAGTAAAATACAGTGAGCATAATTGGATGTGGTTCAAAGGGGCAGCAGTATTCAATTGAAAATGTGCTGAATATAGATGCAAATGTTTTGGGCCAGCTTGCAGATAAGACAAACACCTAAATATCAATATCTAAATGGATGTATCAGTAAACTTGATTATTATTACATATATATGTATTTGCATTTATCGATGGTACTCTGAAAACACAATTCAAAATTCAAAAAATAAAAATTGTTACTTCTGTTAAGTGGCTCTTGTCCCTAATCCTTGCCTAAACCATTTCCATCCCTTACTAAAGTGAGCAGTAAGGATTGCTAAAGTAAGCACTGAGCATTAGACATGGATTCGACAAGAATTAGAGACATGAGCCAATTAACAGTAGTAACAGTTTTTATTTTTTGAATTGTGCCGTTATTGCTGAGGTCCATCGATATGTACATACATACAAACATATATGCATACAGACAAAATACCTGCTTAATTTTTAAAATATTTTATCCTTTTATGCTGCTATAAATAAAATTATTTGAAATATTAAAAATAAACTCATTTAGGTACAGTTTTAGCACGATAAAAAAATGTTAAGGTAAAACCGCTGAGAGGCAGCCTGAACATTTTTGAAGTTTGCTAACATAACAAAAATGTTTTCAAAATTTCAATCTCACAAATACATTCTCACTTTCCGCCTCAAATAAAAGAAAATTTTAATATAAGCAGGAGTACAAAAACAAAAATTTACATGTATTTTGTTTTTGCTTTGGCGGCATAAACTGTCAAAATCTGCAAGAGCGTGTGTAGAAATTCAAACAAAATATTTCAATTTGATATCAGAAGCCGTGCGGCGAAACACATACACAAAATCAGCTGAGCTAGTAAAACCTTATATAAATTCGCATTGTTTTCATCTATTTGTTTTTCGTTTTACTTTTATTTGGCAATTGAGTCGCTCTTAAAATTTCAATTTTATAAAGTAGAGAAACTTCAAAAAATAAATGATGGCCGACGAATTGAGCGAGCGGTTTTACCTTTAAATATTTGTATCATGCAGTTTTAGTAAGCTTATGTAATTTTTCTTTAAGCAAATCGAATTAAATGAGCTAATTTCAAAAGAAAATTGGAAATATTGGCTCTTGAAACTAAGTCGGGGGCCACATATGTATGCAAAACTCACCGGTTACTTTAAGGTGGTGAA